ACCTCCTCTAGAACCGATCCCAGAGCCCCAGGGATCTGAAACCGTCCCCCTGACACCATCTGTTCAGCCACGTATTCATCCAATATATCCTGTCATTTCTTCTCTGACTAGCATGTGGCACTGATAGTAATCCTGAGATCACTGCTTTTGAGATCTGATTTCTTAACTTTCTTCCTGGCTCCCTGTATTCTGCTTTTAGGACCTCATGGCTTTTTTTACTTATGTCATTAGTACCAGTGTGTACCAAGACCACTGACTGTTCACCCTCCCCCCTCCAGAATGTCCTGTACCCGCTCTGAGACATCCTTGACCCTAGCACCAGGGAGGCAACATACCATGCTGGAGTCTTGTTTACTACCACAGAAACACCTGTCTATTCCCTTAAAATTGAATTCTGTATAACTGTTCCCTGGCACACATTTTACCCCTCTCCTCTGCAGCACCAACTGTGGTGCAACGAGTTTGGCTGCTGCAGCTTTCCCCAGCGAGGTCATTCCTCTCAACAGTATCCAGATTGGTATAAAAACTGAAAGAACTACGAATGTAGTAAATTGGGAACAAAAACAGAAGTTGCTGGAAAAGCTCAGCAGGGCTGGCAGTATCTGTGAAGAAAAATTCAGAGTCTTTTTCTTCACAGATGCTGCCAGACCTGCTGAGCTTTTCCAGCAACTACCAAAATGATGTTAACAAGGTGTAGAGCTGGATGAACACAGCAGGCCAAGCAGCATCAGAGGAGCAGGAAAGCTGACGTTTCGGGCTCTACCAAAATGAGGTATCTGTTTTGCAGGGGAATGGCCACAGGAGATTTCTACACTACCTGCCTGTTTCTCTTGCTCTGTCTGGTGGTTACCCATTCCCTTCCTGTCTGCCATGTGACTACCTCTCTATGTGTACTTTGCACGATACTCTCTGTCTCACAGATGCTCTGTAGTTTCTCCAGCCACCGCTGCAGCTCTGAAACCTGAGCTTCCAGAAGCTGCAGCTGGAGACGCTTCCTGCACTCTGATGTGGAGGACTGGAACTGTCCCCAGCCTGCCACATAGAGTAAGAGGAGCAAACCAAGACTTTGAGCTCTCCTGCCATGGTTTACCTCTTTAAATTTAACCTTGGAGAATACTTTATATTACGTTAAATCAAATCCAGTTATCTGTGGCCCTTCTTTCCTGGTCCATGTACTACCCTTACAGATTAGAAACCAAAAAAAGTTCTATAAGTTCTATAAGTGTTGGAAGTTGTAAGGACTTACCTGCCTTACCCTGCTACTCCCCAATCAGCTCTCTCCCACCTAGTCACCTGCAGCAAGGCAAGAGCACTCACTTCCCTTGCTTGTGGTCCTCACAGTGACTCTTTTTTTCAGTTGTTGGAGGAGGGAGGGAGGGAAATACTGAAGTAGTGTTTGGTGTTTAACTGTCCCTTGACAACACTCCTTCTACAAACCACTGTTCGGTAGTGCTGATTGAGCATGTAAGGTCATAAGCAACTGGAGCAGTAAACTGCCATTTGGTCCCTTTATGTGTGCTTTACCACTCCAAAAGATCATGACTGGAGTTAATTGGCTTTATCTTCAATTTTGTACCTGCCCTTAATAATACATGGCTCCCTTGCAGATAAGAAGTTAAAACCATCTCCATCTTAATCTTAAATACAAATAATTGTAAAATTTAATAACCCTCTGAAACGGACTAAAATTGGCATATCTGCTTCCTAAGTGGGAGACTCCTATTTTGTCCCACCTGTTTCTAGATTTTCATGGAAGGGAAGAGAGTCCTCTCAGCATCTACCCTATCAAGCCCTCTCAGAATCTTCTTTTTCAATTATATCTTGTCTTCTGCTTACAAACTCCGATGAATATAAGTCCAACCTGCTGGATCTTTCCTGATAAAACAAAGCCATTCCTCCCAGGAATCAACTGAATGAACTTCCTTCGACCTGTTTACAATGCAAGTGTAAAACTTAATAAAAAGATCAAAATTGAACAAGTACTTCCAAGTATGACTTTATACAGTCATAGAACTACTTCCTCACTTTTACTTCCATCCATCTTGCAGAAAAGACCAATATTTAATTTGCCTTCCTAATTCCATGCTAACTTTATAATTTATGTCGAAGCGCACCTAAATTTCTCTCAATGTAGCATTCTTCCATCTATCTCGATTTAAATAATACTCTGCTTTACTGTTCTTCCTGCCAAAGTGCACAAATTCACATTTTCCCATATAAATACTCTGTCTGCCAGGTCCTTATCCACTTACTTAATGTCCCTTTGCAGACTCCATGTGTCCTCACAACGTGCTTTCTTAATATTTTTTTTTTAAATATTGTCACTAATCTTGGTGTAATGCAGGCGGTCCCTTAAGTAATCATGTAGATTGTAAATAATTGAAATTCATGACTGATCTTTGGCAAACTGCAATTAGTGAAGTATCAATCTGAAAATTATTCATTACCCATAATCAGCCTTCTTATCCATTCTAATACATTGCCACCACACTATGACCTTTTTATTTTGTATATAAATATTTTGTGGCATCTTATCAAATGCCTTTTGAATATCCACATACGTTAGATATTCTGGTTGCCTTTTATCCAGTCTGCTTGTTCTATCCTCGAAGAACTTTAATAAATTTATCAAACGTGATTTCCCTTTTACAGACTGATTCCTGGGATTGCCCTAAGCAGAGTGTTTGAGGAGACTAAGTATATAATTCTTATATGTATGAGAAGTGATCTCATGGAGGCATACAAAAGTCTTGCAGGATTCAACTGGGTAGGTACAGGAAGAATTTTTCCCTGGCTGGAGTGTAGAACAAGGGGATGCAGTATCAGAATGAGAGATGTCAGCTAAGACTGAGATGAGGAATTTTTTCACTCAGTTTGATAATCTTAAGAATATTCTCCCCAGAGGACTTTTAAACCCCAATCATTGAGTATATTCAAGATAGTGGTCAATAGTTTTCTAGCAATATGGTTACAGTGTTGGAGAATATTTTTGAGATAGCATATCGGAGATGAGCCAGTTGAATGCTGGAGTAAACTCGTCTACCTATCTCAGCACACTCCAGAGCTCATCCACTCACTGCCACTGCTTTCTCCGTGAATTGCTATAAACGTGCCCTCTGACTTTCCATCTTGCCTCCTGTGAAAATAATTTCTCCCCATTTTGACTAATGCTCATGATTTTTGAGTATTGCTCTAAACTCCCCAAAACTGTTTAGCCAGCACCTTCAAATATGTAACCATCTAGAAGGCCAAGAGGAGTAGATACATAGAAGTACCGTCATCTTCAACTAACCCTCTAAATCTCTCTGAATCCTGACTTGGAACTGTATCACTGTTCTTTCACTATTGCTTTGTCAACGTTCCTGGAGTTTCATTCCTAACAGCCGTCTGACTGTCCTTTCACCCCAAGGATAACTGGTTCAAGGAGGTAGTTTGCCATGACGTTCTCCAGTGCTGTGTTGGAAGTGATGGCCTAGTGACCTTGGGATTAAAGGTCTTATGATAACTGTGAAACACTGTAAATAAACGCTAAGGTGGCTAAACATTAGCCCGCCTGCGTCATGGTTCTGGGACCCGGGTTCGATTCCAGCCTTGGGTGATTCTTAGAATCTCTACAGTGTGGAAACAGGCCCTTTGGCCCAACAAGTCCACACTGACCTTCAGAGCATCCCATCCAGACCCATCCCCCTATAACCCACCTAATCTACACATCCCTGACCACTACGGGAAATTTAGCATGGTCAATCCACCTAACCTGCACATCTTTGGACTGTGGGAGGAAACCAGAGCACCTGGAGGCAACCCATGGAGACACCGGGAGAATGTGCAAACTCCACACAGACAGTTGCCCAAGGGTAGAATCAAACCTGGGCCCCGGCACTATGAGGCAGCAGTGCTAACCACTGAGCCACCATGCCACCCGTCCACATTGTCTGTGTGGAGTTTGCACATTCTCCCCTTGTCTGCATGGGTTTCTGCCGGGTGCTCTGGTTTCCTTCCACAGTCCAAAAATGTGCAAGTCAGGTGGATTTGCCATAACAAATTGCCCAGTAGTGTTCAGGGATTTGCAAGTTTTGTGAAGGGTTAGGATTTGGGGAAGGAGGGTGATGGTGGGTCTTGAAGGGATGCTTTTTGGAGGGTCTGTGCGGACTCAATGGTCCGAATGGCGTATTTCCGCACTATAGGGATTCTATGATTGCAAATTGGTGTAAAAACCCATTTGGTTCACAAATATCCTTCAGGAAAGGAAACTGTTGCTCTGGTACCTACATGTGACTGCAAACTCTCTGAGTTGGCCTAGTAAGCAAGGGCAACTAGTTATGGGCAATAAATGCTGGTCTAGTCAGTGACTTATATTCAGTAAATGAATAAAAATCTCTTTCTTTTTGTTGGAGAAGAGGCCCATTTTCTCAAATATTTTCATGAGAATTGAAGTTTCTCATCCCTTTATCATTATCTGTCCCCTCTCTAAAGCCTTCATATCCTTTGTAATGTCTCTAGTTGAGACTAAATCACTGTTTTATATGTAGTCACTGGATGAACGTCTCTGTTATTGGATGAAGATCGAGTAAATTTTTAATTAATTGAATGTGACCACTTTCTGTCACCTTGAGGAAATGATGATGAGCAACCTTGAAATGTTGAAGTCCATCTAGTGTACATAACCCCACAGATCCTGTCAGGAATCAAGTTCTGGGAGTTTGATCCAGCAATAATGATACAGTTCCAAATCAAAGTGGTGAGTGGCTTGGAGGGGAACTCGTAGGTGGTGGTGTTCCCATGTATCTGCTACCCTGGTCCTTCTAAATAGTAGTGGTATTGGACTGGAAGGTGCTATCTAAGAAGCCTTACTGCAGTGCATGTTGTAGATGGTACACATTGCTGCTACTGTGTGCTGGTGCAAGTTGAGGTTGAGGAATTTGTGATATTAGATGTTATTAGATTTTGCAGTTTCTGGAATAATCTAGTGTGGATGCTTGCTAATGGTTATCATCCTACAGGTTTCAGGGATAGAAGATGAAGTTCAGCAGCTGCAGAAAGCATTGCTGGATTACCTGGATGAGAATACAGAGACTGACCCCTCGCTAATGGTAAGTGAAATCTAGCTGCTCAGTATATTTATGTAGGGGAATTCAGGTTATCCTTTTGGTGCCTGGGTGTGGGTGGCTAGCTGCATGAGTGTGTTGAGGGGTTAATAGGTGGGCTAGGTTTGGACAAGATTCATGGGTGGATTAGTGTTAGGCTGGGCTGATGGGTGCATGGGTTAGGGTTAGACCGAGCTGGTGGGGTTGGTTAGGGTTAGGCTGGGCTAGGCCTAGGGGATGAGTACTGAGGATGTTAGGGGACTTTCTATTCTTTCCAAAAACTAAAATCTTCATTAATGACATCAATGCCTGGAGTGTAAAATTTTGTATTACCTTCCATGGGATTGACTACATTCCTGTAGAGAGAATGTTAATGAGAGACAGAGTCTAAGAGCTGCTGATGGAACTGTGACAATTCCCATTTTGCATTGTAAACTGGATTCAGTGAAAAATCCAGTTCAGTCTGATATTCTGCCACAGATCCTGCAGTAAGTTCGTGTTTATTTTTAAGTTCGCTAGGAAGTTTTACATTGCACAGTGGTTTCGTGACACTACAATGGAGACAGAAAAGGCAATGAAGTCACAGAATCAGAAAGATGACGATTCCTCAGATGGAGCACAACATGCTAAGGAGGTAGAATCTACAGGCGAGATCATGCAAAGAGCAGAAAAACGCAAGAAGTTTCTTCGCTCTGTCATCAAAACTGCCCCAGCTCAATTTAGCACGCTGAGGTAAGCTGCGTGGGTTGGGGGGGCTATATTCAAAAGTGGACAATGGACTGACCCTGCAGGGTGGTTTAGTTATGAGCACGTGAATACACTTTATAGTGCAGTATAGGGCTTGAATTGATTTCCTACTTCTGCTCTTGGTTTTGTTCCAATCCAATGTGATCATATCTGAGCTGTTAGTTCAACATCACTTTCCTACCCTGGCTCCATATTTCTTGATTCCCTAAGAGATCAGCAAAGCCATACGAGAATGAATACTTCATCATTTTTTGTTAAGGAGCAAGTGACTGACAAGATAACAGCAGCAGCGAAATGAACATAGAACAGTACAGCACAGTATAGGCCCTTCGGCCCACAATGTTGTGCCGACCTATTATCCTACTCTGAGATCAAACTAACCTGCATTCCCTCCATTTTACTATCATCCATGTGCCTATCCAAGAGTCACTTAAAAGTCTCTAAGGTATCTGACTCCACTACCACTGCAGGCAGTGCATTCCACACACCTACCATTCTCTGACATCTCCCCTATACCTTCCTCCAATCACCTTAAAATTATGTCCCTTGTAATAGTCATTTCCGCCCTGGGAAAAAGTCTCTGGCTATCCACCCTATGTATGCCTGTCATCATCTTGTACAAATTGGTCAAGATAAAGGATGGGAGAAACTAAAGGATAGGTTTGCTGCAAAGGTTGGCTATGCTTGAAATAGATAAATTGCCTGGGCTGATAACTAGCATTCCGGGTTGAGGAAGTGGGGATGGTAATTGAGAAGAGCTTGCTATAGTGTTACAAAATTTCTAGATGACTTCAAGCGGAGGAAAACTGATCATTACTGTCAATCCTTATCTGGACACCATTATTTTGTGCAGCTTCATTGTTACCCGTAAGCCTCTTATGTTAAAAGGAAAATAACTCTACTTATCCAATCTTTCCTCATAATTTCCTCATTTTCTGAAAAAGGGTTCTGACCCAAAACATCAGCTTTCCTGCTCCTCTGATGCTGCCTGGCCTGCTGTGTTCCTCCAGCTCCACGGTGCGTTATTTCTGTTTCCCCATAATTGCATTTTTTAAGCCCTGGCAACATTTTTGTAAATTTCCTTTACACTGTCTGCAGAGCATTTGCATCCTTGCAGTGCATGAATGCAGTGACCAGAACTTTAAACAGAATTCTAGCTGCAGCCTGGCCTGTGACTTGTATATCCCAGCATTAGATCCCCATTTTGTATTCTATAACTCATACTGTACAGAGAGGCATTTAATATGCTTTCTTTACCACTATATCCATCTTTCTGGCTATTTTCAAGGACTTGTGGATGTGCAGTCTGAGGTTTAAATGCAAATCATTATGAGCATTATGATTTATGATCCAGCTGATGTTATTACCAGGCAAGTCACAACGCTGGAGTTTAGAAGAATGAGGTGGGGCAATCTCATCGAAACTTAAAAAAATTCCAACAGGACTAACCAGACTAAATGCAGGAAGGATGTTGACAATGACTGAAGAGTCCCAAACCAGGGGTCACAGTCTAAGGATAAGAGCATTAAAAACGGGAAACCCTTCAGGTTTAGAGAGAGTGTAGATGGGGTGCCTAAAAAAACAAATTAGGAGAACAAAGAGAGGCCATAAAATATCTTTGGCAGATAGGGTTAAGGAAAACCCCGAGCTTTTTATAATTATATTAAGAGCAAGAGAATTACAGGGAAAGAGTGGGGCCTATTCGAGACCAACAGAATAATCTGTGCGTGGAGCTAGAGGATGTGGGTCAGGCCTTACATGAATTTTTCTCATTTGTATTCACAAAGGAGAAAGGCATTGCAGTTGGAGAGGCTGTACAACATGTTAAGATTAAAAAGGAGGTGATATTAGATGTTTCGGTGGGCATAAAGCTGCACAAATTCCTAAGGCCTGATGAGACGTATTTCAGGCTTCTATAGGAGAACAAGCGAGGAGATTGCTGGGGCCCTGGTGGATATATTTAATACATCACTGGCTGCAGGTGAAGTACCAGATGACTGGAGGAGAGGTAATATGATTTCTTTGCTCAAGAGTGGCAGCAGGGATAGGCAAGGTAATTACAGACCAGTTAGTCTGATGTCAGTGGTAGGAAAATTTTTGAAAAAGTTCTGAGGGACAGAATTAATCAATACTTGCAAAAGCAAGAATAGTCAGCATCGGATGGTAAGAACTGCCGATGCTGGAGTCAGAAATAACATCGTGTGGAGCTGGAGGAACACAGCAGGCCAGGCAGCCTCAGAGGAGCAGGAAAGCTGACGTTTCCGGTCAGGACCCTTCAGAATTATAGTCAGCATGGATTTGTTAGAGCGAGATCCTATCTAACTAATTTAAGTTTTTTGAAAATGTGATCAAATATATTGATCAGGGTAGTGCAGTTGATGTGGTTTACACGGAGTTCAGTAAGGCCTTTGACAACATGGAAGGCTGGTCCAAAAATGTAATGTCTATGGGATCTAAGGCAAATTGACAAACTGGATCCAAAATTGGCTTGGAAATACAAAGCAAAGGGTGATGTTGATGAGTTGTTTTTGTAATTGAAAGCTTATGACTGGCAGTATACTACAAGGATTGATGTTGAGACCCTTGCTGTTTAGAATGCACATTAATGACTTGCAAGCAAATGTAGAAGGTATAATTAGTAAGTTTGCGGATGATGCAAAATTTGGCATTATTGATAGTGATGGGGATAGTCTGAAGCTACAGTACGATATTGATCAGCTGATAAATTAGGCAGTGCAATGGCAGGTTTTAGGAGGCCTAATAAAGGAAAGATTTACACAATGAGTGGTGGGTCGCTAGGGAGTACTGAGAAACAAAGGGATCTTGGTGTACAAGTCCATAGATCCCTGAAGGTGTCAGTGCAAGTAGATAGGATGGTGAAGAAAGCATACAGGCTGCTTACTTCTGTTAGCTGGGATGTAGAGTAAATGAGGAAGGAAGTCTTATAACAACTTTATTGAGCATTGGGTAGGCCACAGATAAAATACTGCATGCTGTTCTAGTTACAAAAGCTTTGGACATATATGGTTATACTGGAGAGGGTGTAGAAGGAGGTTCACCAGGTTGTTGCCTGGAATGCAGACGCTCGGTCATGAGGAGAGACTGGATAGATTGAGTTTCTCTTCCCTGGAGCAGAAGAGGCTGGCAGGAGATCTGATTGAGTATACACAATTGAGAGGCATAGACAAGTAGATTGTGAAAATCTTCTCCCCCTGGCAGATGTGTCTAAAATCAGGCAACATACATTTAAGGTGAGAAGTAAGTGATTTAGAGGGGATTGGAGGAAAACTTTTCAATCAGGATGGTAGAAATATGGAGCGTGCTACATGAGAGGGTAGTGGAGGCGTGTACTTTAAGCATCTGGACAAACACTTAAAATGCCAGGGCATACTAGGCTATGGATCAAGTGCAAGTAAATAGGATTAGCATAATTTGGTGTTTCTTGGTCAGCATGGACATGGTTGGCTGGAGGGCCTGTTTCTATCCTATATGTCACAATTATATAGGAAAGGCCATTATGGTCCGAGATTAGGAGAAATTTCTTCACTCAAGTGTTGCGAACCTCTGGAATCTTAAGAACATAGAACAGTTCAGCACAGTACAGACCCTTCGGCCCATAATGTTGTACACACCTATTATCCTACTTTAAGATCAAACTACCCTGCATACCCTACATTTTACTATTGTCCATGTGCCTATCCAAGAGTTGCTTAAATGTCCCTAATGCATCTGACTGCATTCCAAGCACCCACCAATCACTGTGTGAAAAAACTACCTCTGACATCTCCCCTATACCTTCCTCTAATCACTTTAAAATTATGCCCCCTCGTAATTGTCATTTCTGCCCTGGGAAAAACTCTCTGGCTATCCACTCTGTCTATGCCTCTCATCATCTTGTACACCTCTATCAAGTCACCTCTCATCCTTCTTCGCTCCAATGAAAAAAGCGCTAGCTCCCTCAACCTTTCCTCATAAGACCTGCCCTCCAGTCCAGGCAGCATCCTGGTAAATCTCTTCTGTGCCTTCTCTAAAGCTTCCACATCCTTCCTATAATGAGGTGACCAGAACTGAACACAATATTCCAAGTGTGGTCTAACCAGGGATTTTTAGAGCTGCAGCATAACCTCACGGCTCTTAAACTCAATCCCCCTGCCAATGAAAGCCAACACACCATACGCCTTCTTAATAACCCTATCAACTTTGAGTGATCTGTGGACGTGGACCCCAAGATCCCTCTGTTCCTCCACACGGCCTAGAATTCTGCCGTTAACCCTTCATTCTGCATTCAAATTTGACCTTCCAAAATGAATTCCATCTGCCACTTCTTTGCCCAGCTCTGCATTCTGTCAATGTCCCATTGCAACTACAACAGCCCTCTACACCACCCACATCTCCACCAACCTTCGTGTCATCAGCAAACCTACTAACCCACCCTTCCACTTCCTCATCCAAGTCGTTCATAAAGATCGCAAAGAGCAGAGATCCCAGAACGGATCCTTGCGGAACACCACTGGTCACCAAACTGCTACAGAAAGTGATTGAAGTTAAAATATTGAACGTTTTCAAGAAGAAGACAGATATAGTTCTTGAGGTGAAAGAGATCAAAGATTTTTTTTTACTTCATTCATGGGATGAGGGCATGCTAGCCCAGCATTTATGCCATCCCTAATTGACCAGAGGGCAGTTAAGAGTCAGCCACATTGCTGTGCGTCTGGAGTCAACATGTAGGCCAGACCAGGTAAGGATTGCAGTTTCCTTCCCTAAATGAACATTAATGAACCAGATTGGTTTTCTGACAGTTGAGTGGTTTATTGGTCACCATTAGACTCTGAATTCCGAGATTTATCAAATTCAAATTCCACGTCTGCCATGGAAGGATTTGGACCCAGGTTCCCAGACCATTACCTGGGTCTCTGGGTCCAGTGATAATACCAGTAGGCCATTTCTTCCCCACCTTATGAGGCAAAAATGGGAACAGGGCGCTG